GCTGGGATTACAGGCACGCAACACCATGCCCAGCTCATTTTTTGGAGTTTTAGTAGAGACGGGGTTTCACCATGTTGACCAGGATGGTCTCGATCTCTTGACCTCGTGATCCACCGGCCTCGGCCTCCCAAAGTGCTGGGATTACAGGCTTGAGCCACCGCGCCCGGCCCCAAGTATTTCTCTTCTTAAGAACTCTTTCTAACAACACTAGTTCTTTATGTTAAAAGCTAATATTTTTATCCAGCATAGCAAATATTATGTACTTTAGAAGTTCATGGATGGAATTTACATCCTTACAACTAGAGTCCAATGGTTAGTGAAACCTTCCTGGAATGGCTGATGCCTACAATTAAGTCCTAAAGGAAAAAAAAAAATGAGATTTTTTAGATGAAAATGAGAGCAAAAGCATGCCAGAGTGAGTTCATGGAAAGGGAAGTGGAAAGGCAGTGAGGCTTCATAAGGAGCATGAAGCGCCACTGATTCTTATTCATTGTTCCTAGGTACCTTAGTACAGAATGCAAATAGGGAATGAGTGAGTGATAAATTGAAGGTGGGCTAATACGGAGTGGTGGGGTACTACATATACCATGCTGAAGAACACACCTTTTATTCAGACTGATTTGGGAATCACTGAAGGATTTCAAGTGAAATAACAGTGTGACTGCATGAGAGGTCATTAAGTTATATTTACGGAAATGGATTAGAAAGTGGGAGAACAGGGCTTGGGAAACTACTTATGATTGGTCCAATCCCAGGTAAAAATATTTGATAGAAGTGGGTATAAAAGATGATTGCCAGTTTTTTTCTACAGAAATCCTGGATAAATGGCGATGACACAAAAACAGGTCAGCTACTTTTCAGAAATGTAATGACAGGGAGTTAAATGAATCTCTTTGACAAAGAGTCCTGTTGATAATTGCTGTCTTATCAATAACTACAAAATGTGTTATTTTTGCAGGTCATTCAGTGAAAATATTACAATAAAACTGTATGGTCAGTTTCATATATATACTTGATGAATGTTGCTGATCACTATGTCAAGAAGGATAATTTATCCTTAAATAAAGTTAGAAGCATAATTTTAATTTTCTTCAGATAAATAATTGATTAAGTAGTCAAGTTAAAACAGAACTTTCATTCAGTGGACACGATTTACCTGATGTAAACAAAATTTCTATTTTCATACAATTATGTCTTGGTCACAGTCCTTTAATTTGCAATAAACATTTTGAAATTTAATCCTTTTTATTTAGAAATTTCATGCAAACCTCCAGACGTTGTGAATGGATCTCCTATATCTAAGAAGAATATTTTTAAGGAGAATGAACGATTTCAGTATAAATGTAACATGGGTTATGAATACACTGCAAGAGGAGATTCCGTATGCACTGAATCTGGATGGAATCCGTTACCTTCATGTGAAGGTAATGTTATATTTATTTTCTGCATCTTTTGTTATAAATTTATCACTTATTTAATTATTTTAATAAAGCAATTTATTTTAATCAAAAGTAGAGTACTAATTTATATAAATAAACTGTTATAAAACATAGAATTTTTTGTGTTCAAGGTTCATTTTGAGAACACCTTGTATGATACACACGCTCTGAAAATAGACATAAACGGATCAGAAAGGTTCAATTGTTTATTAAGAAATTGGTCTATCATCGAAAACCATGTCTGGAGCAGAGCCAGGACTATAATAGACTTCTTAATTCTCAGTAATATACAATTCTCAAACAAGTAGATTGTTCCTCTAATGCCCAGAATTTATTTAAATAATATTAATATTTTAAAATACTTTAAAAGTAGCTTGTCTTAATACCAGGCGAGGAAACTCTCAACTGACAATGGAATTAAGTGGAAGGAAATGAATGTTTTTATTAACAACAGGCCCAGTATGACTCAACAGCGATGATGGTGCTGGAAAATTAAAAAATATAAACAACCCCACTCTCTTGGTTTTCATCGTGGAATAGTGTTATACAGAGCCAAAGAGTTCATCTCAGCTGTGCTCTTTGCCCACCAAAAAATACACCTGGAATAAAGTGTTCTACTTAACCTACTTCATTTTAAAAGGGAAAGCTTCAAACTATCATGACCTAGAAAGGAGAATATAGACAGTTGTGGACTTTAAAAAATTATGCTGTAAGAAGTATAGTAAGAAGATACAGCTATAGTGTGGCAATAACTGTTCTGAGATATTTTCAAACATTTACAAAAGGAGTGAGTTTGCTTTTGATGAGGACGGCTGCGGTGAGTGAGACAAGGAACAGTGTCACCACATATGGTCCTGAAGTCTAAAAGGGAGACACTGTTACACTGTGAGAGAAAGAGAGTTGAACTCTTAACAGCCCTCTGAACTTTAAATCCCATGATTCGTAAACACATGTTTAAATCTTGCTTTAGTGATTCTCTTTTAAAAGAAGCATAGTTAATTTTGGTTTAATTTTATACACTAAAAACATTTTTGTTTGCGCCCAGAAGTGTCTCCTCGGAAAACATATCTTTTTTCACAATTGCGTGATCTCCACTTTTAGGCACTATTAAGAAAATATTTTAGAAAGAAATTAATGAACATGAGACAGTAATAACCCACATCAGATCCGTGTTTGGCTAATGGCGTGTGGGGTCCAACTGTTTGTCTTCGTGGCATTCACAGTTCCTAAGCAGAGAAAGTGCATGCACAAGTGCTTTGGCATTAACTTCTGCCTGCAGTATACTACTTCAAATCTATAGTTAATTTATCCATCCAAAAATCAGAATGCAACTTATAAAATACTTATTTTACATCAGGGCCTTGCTTTGTATTGAAGATAAACATTGCAATAAATGACCATTCCAGCTTTCAATGAATTCAAAATAA